CTGTGCAAGATCAGTGTAAAGGTAGCTTGCGTGCAGCCGGACTTTTCCCTCGTATATAGCAGTTATATGTTATACGTTCGGCTACACGCAGGCTAGTATAAAGGCCGGAGAGCGTTTTTGAAACTGCTTTTTAGATATTATAAAAGTCCTGAGAACAGTAAAACCATTGACCCCATTTGGAAATGGCAAATCTTGCTGGACGATAACGTGATACAGATATCAGACTTGAAGATCTCCCGCTGGGGGACGAGAGTAGTAGGGAAACGCCGTTTTCACAACAATAGACTGCACCGGTGCGCCGGTGCTTCTCTGAGAACAATAGCCGGTGTACATTCTTGGCGCACTGGAGAACGTAACAGAAGCACATTYTTGAGCCCCGAAGAATTTCACATTCTTAGAGCACTGGAGAATGTAACGAATGCACATTCAATTCTTGATGGAATTATTATATATTCATCGCCACCTGGTAATGTTTTATTTTCAACTAAATTATGTTTTTATTGTTTAGTCTACGTGACTTGTACAGAGGTATTGTTTACTACTTATGTTTATCTTAAACAAAGGAATTGGCTGCATGGATTAGAGCACCGAAAGTTAATCAATACCTCTGTACAAGTCACGTAGACTAAACAATAAAAACATAATTTAGTTGAAAACAAAATATTTCCAGGTGGCGATGAATATACAACAATTCCATCAAGAATGTGCATTCGTTACATTCTCCAGTGCTCTAAGAATGTGAAATTCTTCGGGGCTCAAGAATGTGCGTCCGTTACGTTCTCCAGTGCGCCAAGAATGTACACCGGCTATTGTTCTCAGAGAAGCACCGGCACACCGTTGCAGTCTATTGTTGTGAAAATGGCGTTTTCCTACTACTGATGAGGGAGAGCGAAAGGACGTCATGTGATTTATAGCCTGCGTAGCGGCTCTTGGGGAGGTGGGTTGGGGCGCTACGTAGGCTATGTGTTTTATCAGGCTAAAGATCTCTCTAATAACATAGTATTTCCATAGGATTCTCTTTTAGGGGTCATTTCAAAATTTTATACGAGCTTCCCTGCTCTTCCTTATATAGGTCTACCCCCCACACCCCCACCCCCTTCCGTCCTTAAGCAGGCAAGTCTCTATTTGCTTTGCAAAACTTTTGCAATCTAACATTCTAATTTCTTCATCGCATTGGTGTTGCCATAGAAAAGTACCCGTTATTTAATAAGGAAAAAGACGCCTTAATTCTACCGCTGGATTTGACGAAATTCTCGACTCACACACAACTTACAAGCCAAGTGATACAGCGTTTTGGAAAGGTGAGGAAATCGGCAATCACCTCATGCAATATTGTATTTTAATTATTGGGTTAAGGAGTATATATTTATTCGTTATTTGGCCCTCGCGCCCGAAAACGGATGTTCAAGATATATAAAGAGCTAAAGGCGACAGTCAGTACAAAGGTCTCCGAAAGAACTACATAAACAGAGGCGCCGGAGCCAGGGGTATCGGGGGGCTTCAGGATATAAAAACGTTTGAGTATTACTTTCAATCTGGCTAACTTTGGGAAACTTCATAATCATAAGCGGTCAGGGAGTATTGTCTCAGAATCACTCTATATTCAAGTCTATAATTATACTAAATAGGAGCATCAATCTTCCCAGCTGAGCTAGCCATTCTAATTGAGGGCAGTTTCGATTCAATGTCATACGAAATACTTCAGTATTCTTCTGTATATAAGTGGACTTCTTTCGAGTATGTTAGGAAACCCGTTGGGGCCGGGAGGTAGAAGAATGTTTTCGTTCCAGGCACTTTCGTTTATAAATGTTAAATCTTAATCTGATTCTATAGATCGATATTCTTGTAAACAATGGTGGAGTGTCTCAGACATTTGCGGTTGAAGAAGGTCCATTGGAAGTCGAGAAAAACCTACTGGATATCAATCTGCTTGGAACGATTTCGCTGACCAAAGCTGTTCTTCCTCACATGCTGGAGAGACGAGCAGGACAGATCGTCGTTGTGAGCAGCGTCTTTGGAAAATTTGGTAAGGAAAGAAGATAAACCTTTCCAACCTACAGTAAATGGGGGACATAAAAGAACCACTGAGGACGTAAAAAGAAACCCTGGCAGTGACCACCCTCAGTGCCTCCACTTCATACTAACCATAATCTCTCATGCTTGTAAATTGCTTWAAAAAGCAATCTGTCATTCACAACTCCATGTAAAGCGCCTTTGATTATATCCACATAGGAAATGGCGCTATATAAATCATAATCATCATCAATCATCATCATCATTTACTATTTCTGACCACACAACACGTGTCAATCACTGGGGTATATTTCTTTGTTTAACGGTTGTGCGTGAGAAGACACATGAACTCAGAGACGTGCATGAACTTATATAACTCCTTTCTTGGACGTAATGCTTTACTATTTCTGACCACATAACACGTTTCAATCACTGGGGTATATTTCTTTGTTTAACGGTTGTGCGTGAGAAGACACATGAACTCAGAGACGTGCATGAACTTATATAACTCCTTTCCTTGGACGTAATGYTTTACTATTTCTGACATAGCAAGTGTCAATCACTGGGGTATATTTCTTTGTTTAACGGTTGCGCGTGAGAAGACACATGAACTCAGAGATCTCCATTCATGAACTGATGGATACAACTCAAACAAGGTGCTCGTCCTAAAATTGTCTTATATCGACAATACGGCKGCCATGTTGGATCGCAAGGCATTATGGGGCGTCCAGGGGGCAAATAAAGCTTTGTTGCAGTAATGACGTCGATTGATATTAACAGCTCACCCCAAAAAGAATACAACAAAAGATGAATTAAGACGGCACATATCGATCACCTTTCGTCCAAGTAGTCCACTGCTCGCAGCAGACTGTTGATAAACTCATGCGCTGCTTTTGGTTCTCAAACTGTTCCTCGAATTTTAGGAGCAGTCTGTGACTATAATTCAACGACAGCTTTGTAGTCTTTAGGAGTGATGAGGCACGAGTCTATGAGTAGTCTATGATCGACATACTTTCTTTTCATATGCTTACTTTTTCAAGATATCGGATCCTGTCCAGCCCTTAATTCMCTCGCCTGTTTATTTATTGAGAGAGGCGCGCCTTTAGGTGATCATGAGGGGTTTAATAAACTATCAAGAGAATAACACGTGGTTTGAAATGGGAGAGCATTACGCCCAAACTAAAAGGGTCTGTCTACTGTAATGTATTTTTCAGGGTTTCCTCGATTGGCCGCGTATAGTGCAAGCAAATTTGGTCTTCAGGTAAGACTTTTGTTTAAATAGTTGTAAGTAACTTTGCAGAAGAAGAGCTAAATTATTTTTCTGCTTTCTTTTTTTTATTTTTTTTTATTTTTTTGCGTCCAAGCTTTCCGAAGGTGGACACGAGAACACGAGAACATTTTGTAGTTGTGTGTGAATTCCATCGAAGGTCCGTGAAATTTCAAAGTGTTTGTATTGTTGAAGTTATGCATACTTTACTTTACCGTTGGTATTTGTGAATATTAGGACACTGGAATGAGGCTAACCCTGAGTAAATGAGTCCGTAATCAATGAACACAGCGGTATATGACTCAAATCGAAAACGGTCTATAGGTT